ATAATAAGTCCTCTCCTATTACTAATTACTTTAAATGTAAGTGTAAATAAAACTCCTAAATCAAAAGACATAGATTAGCTGAATGGATTAAGAAAACAGAATCCAATGATATCCTGTCTTCCAAGACTCACTTTGTATCTAAGGACACTAAGCTGAAAGTGAAAGGATGGAAAAAGATACTCCATGCAAATAGGAACCAAAGAGATTAGGAGCGGCTATACTAATATTAAACAAAATAGACTTTAAATCAAAAACAGAAGAGATAAAGAAGGACATTATATATTGGTAAAAGATCAATTCACCAAGAAGATATAACAATTATAAATACTTATGTACCAAACCTCAGAGTGCCTAAATATGTGAAGCAAACTTTGACAAAATTGAAAGGAGAAATAGACAGCAACACAATAACAATAAGAGATTTCAGTACCCCACTTTCAATGATGGATAAAACAGCTAGACAGAAGATCAGTGAGGAAATAGAGGACTTGAACACCACCATAGACCAGTTGAAACTAATAGACATATACAGAACACTCCACCAAACAACAGCAAAATATACATTCTTCTCAAGTGCACATGGAACATTGTCCAGAATAGACCATTATGTTAGGCCACAAAACACGTCTTAACAAATTCAAGATTAAAATAATACAGAGTACCTTTTCTGATTACAATGAAATGAAAGTAGAAATCAGTAGCACAAGAAAAACTGGGAAATCCACAAACATGGAAATTAAACAACACACTCTTGAATAACCAATGGGTCAAAGACAAAGTCACCAGAGAAATGAGTAAATATCTTGGTATGAATAAAATTGAAAACACAACATACCAAAACTCATGGGATGCAGCAAAAGTAGTACAGAGGGATGTTTATAGCTGTAAGTGCATATGTAAAAAAAGAAAGATCGCAAATCAAAACCTAACTTTACACCCAAAGAAACTAGAAAAAGAACACACTGAACTCAAAACTAGCAGAAGGAAGGAAATAATAAAGATTAGAGGAGAGATAAACAAAATAAAGAATTAAAAAACAATAGAAAAATATCAACAAAACTGAATTGTTTTTTTTTTAAAAGATCAACAAAATTGACAAACCCTTAGCTAATTTAACTAATAAAAAGAGAGACAAGACTCAAATACTAAAATCAGGAATGAAAGAGGGGACATTACAACTGATGCCACAGAAATAATAAGGGATTATAAGAGACCACTATAAACAATAAATAGAAAACAAAATAGAAAAAGAGGGAACACTTCCAAACTTTTCTTATGTGGCCAGCATCACCCTGATACCAAAGCTAGACAAAGATGCTACAAGAAAAGAAAACTACAAACCAATATCCCTGATCAACATTGATATAAAAATCCACTACAAAATACTAGCAAACTGAATTCAACAGCATATTAAAAGGATTATAAACCATGACCAAGGAGGATTTATTCCTGGAATGCAAGGATGGTTCAACATAAGAAAACCAATCAATGTGATATACCACATTAACCAAATGAAGGACAAAAGCCACGTGGTCACCTCAACTGATGCAGGAAAAAACATTTGGTAAGATTTACTACCAAAAATTCAAGAAACTAGGAATAGAAGTATTCTACCTCAACATTAAAAAGGCCATTTATGAAAAGCCCGTGGATAACATTATACGCAAAAGGCTGAAAACTTTTCCTCTAAGATTAGGAACGAGGAAAGGATGCCTGCTCTTGCCACCTCTATTCAACACAGTATTGTAAGTCCTAGCTGGATCACTTAGACAGGAAAAAGAAATTAAAGGCACCCAAATTGGAAAAGAGGAAGTAAAATTATCTCAGATGACATGATCTAATATATAGAAAACCCTAAGGCCAGCCCAGTGGCATAGTGGTTAAGTTCTTGTGCTCTGCTTCGGCGGCCCAGGATTCTCAGATTCAAATCCTGGGTGCGGACCTATGCACCGCTCAGCAAGCCATGCTGTGGTGGCATCCCACATACAAAAAATAGAGGAGGATGGGCATAGATGTTAGCTCAGGGCCACTCTTCCTCAACAGCAACAACAAAAAAAAACTAAAGATTCCACAAAAAACTGATAGAACTAATAAACGAATTCAGCAAAGTTACAGGATACAAAACACTCAAAAATCAGTTGTGTTTCTATACACTAACAGTGAACAATCTGAAAAGGAAATTTAAAAAAATTCCATTTACAATAGCATCAAAACAAATAAAATTTTTAGGAATAAACCTAGCAAAGGAGGAGAAAGACTTGTACACTGAAAACTACAAAACATTGCTAAAAGAAGTTAAAGAAGATACAAATAAATGGAAAGACATCCTATGTTCACAGATTGGAAGATTTAATATTATTATTATTTTTGTGTGTGTGTGTGTGAGGAAGATCAGCCCTGTGCTAACATCTGCCAATCCTCCTCTTTTTTTTTTTTTTTTTTTTCTGAGGAAGACTGGCCCTGGGCTAACATCCGTGCCCATCTTCCTCCACTTTATATGGGACACCACCACAGCATGGCTTGCCAAGCAGTGCGTCGGTGCGCACCTGGGATCCGAACTGGTGAACCCTGGGCTGCTACAGCTGATAACGCACACTTAACCGCTTGCGCCATCGGGCTGGACCCACGATTTAATATTATTAAGATGTCCATACTACCAAAAGCAATTTAAAGATTCAACACAATCCCTGTCAAAATCCCAATAGCATTTTTTGAAGACATAGAAAAATTCATATGGAATCTCAAGGGACCTCAAGTTTCCAAAACAATTTTGAAAAAGAACAAAGTTTGAGGACTCACACTTCCTGATTTCAAAACATATTACAAAGCTACAGTAATTAAAACAGTGTGATACCGCCATTGAGACAGACAAATAGACCAGTTGAATAGAATGGAGATCCCAGAAATAAACTCTCACATACATGGTCAAATGATATTTTACAGGGGTGACAAGACCACTCAGTGGGGAAAGTACAGTCTCTTCAACAAATGGTTTGGGAAAACTGGATATCCACATGCAAAAGAATGAAACACATCATCCATCATATACAAAAATTACGTCAAAATGAATTAAAGACCTAAACATAAGATCTGAAACTATAAAACTCCTAGAAGAAAACTGTATTACTCAGGGTTTTCCAGAGAAATAATACCAATAGAATATATATAGGAGGAGATTTATTATAGGAACTGGCTCACATCATTATGGAGGCCAGGAAGTCCCACGATCTGTTGTCTTCAAGCTAGAGGATCAGGAAAGTCAGTAGTGTAATTCAGTCCAAGTTCAAAGGCCTGAGAACTGGTGGGGGGGGGGCCTATGGTCTAAGTCTCATTCTGAGTCTGAAGGCCCAAGAACAAAGAACAGTGATGTCTGAGGGCAGGAGAAGACAGATGTCCCAGTTCAAACAGAGAACAGTATCCCCCCTTCTCTGCCTTTTTGTTCTATTCAGGCCTTTAATGGATTAGGTGATGCCCACTTGTATTGGTGAAGGTGATCTTTGCTCAGGCTACTGATCCAAATGCTAATCTCTTCCAGAAATCTTCACAGATACTCCCAGAACTAATGTTTTACCAGCTATCTGGGTATCCCTTAGCCCAGTCAAGTTAACATATAAAATTAACCATCAAAAGTCCACTCCTTGTCAACTTGGCACCCACACACATCTCCATAAACCATACTTAGTCTCCAAACAAAGACAGTAATAAGGTCATAATTCCAGCTAACATGATACAAGTATCCTGCATACAACCAAAAGCACACTAATCCCTTCCCCCAAAAAGAGGTAAAGTCCTTGAGTAATGTTTACTCTTCTCCTGATATCCCATACCTTAGATACTATGATGTAAAATTAACAATACTTAAATACTGATATAAAGTCAATACATCGTTTGTTACATGACAAGGGAATAAGAGAGGAACAAAAACAAAGATGTTACCTTAATATACGTATGTTTGCACACAAACATATTCATAACAAAATAAGGAGGAAACTCATGACAGTTACAGTTCTCATTTTGTAACTGGTCACATGGTCTTAGGTGGTATTTATAACTATCTTCTTCTACTACCCACTCTGCATTCCCTTTGCCTTCAGTAAGCACCTCAGCTGGTCATGGTTCTTTACCTGACAAGGTGACCCAAACCTTCATTCCTGAAGGGTCTGGGCCATTAGTAGTACTGCCTAGATTGGGTTGTTACAGTTTTCCATTGACCTTAATCACAGGGTGTGGTAATAGTAAGTGATGCCTTAAGTGACCTCCTGTTTTCCAGACATACTTTTCCCTACCTCTATTCGGGAGTAGTAGTCCAGTTTCCGTTTGGTAGTCAGGGTCAGTCATCCCTGCCAACACGGTAACTCCCTTTATTGCCTGTTGATTCACAGGCATGAGGAGCCCAAGATGGCCCAGGCACAGTCTTAACTTTCAGTTTCATGGAACTATTGTTGTGTCTTCTAGTGCAAATAGTCCTCCCTCTGGAAATAAGACCTCTAGACCAGCAGAGTATAAAGTTACAGGGACAGGAAGCAAAAATTTTGCTAGTGGGTCACTAAGAGTAATAGTGAATGGTGCCACTCCCATTTCTACCCCCTTGATTCCTGGCTATAGGAGAAACAACACCATATATTGGATACTAATTTAGGACATATACAGCCTCCTGGAGAACCTTGCCCCAGCTGTGCAAGGTATTGCCACCTAGCTGGCACCGTAACAGAGTCTTCAAAAAGCCAATCCACCTTTCTATCAAGCCAGCTGCTTCAAGATGGTGAGAATATGGTAAGAGCATTGAATTCCATGAGCACAGGCCCATTTCCACACTTCATTTGCTGTGAAGTGATTTCCTTGATCAGAAGTAGTGTTGTGTGGAATACCATGACCATGGATAAGGTATTCTGTAAGTCCATAGATGGTACTTTTGGTGGAGGCATTGCATGCAGGGAAGGAAAATTCATATCCCGAGTAAATGTCTATTCCAGAGAGGGAAAAATGCTACTGCTTCTATGATGGAAGCAGTCCAGTGTAATCAACCTGCCACCAGAGCTGGCTGGTCACCTGGGGAATGGTGTCATATTCGGGCTCAGTGTTGGTCTCTTCTGCTGGCAGATCGGGCACTCAGCAGTGGCCATGGCCAGATCGGCCTTGGTAAGTAGAAGTCTGTGTTGCTGAACCCATGCATACCATCTATCCCTGCCACCATGGCCGCTTTTGTTCATGAGCCCATTGGATGATGACAGAGGTGGTTAGGGAAGGAGGCTGACTGATGTACAGAGAAGGGGTTATTCTATCCACTTGATCATTAAAATCTTCCTCTGCTAAGGTCACCTTTTTGTGAGCATTCACAGGGGACACAAATATCTTCACTTTTTTCCCCATTCAGAGAGGTCTGTCCACATACCTCTTCCCCAAATTTGTCAGCAATTTTCCAATCATGTTCTTTCCAGTTCCCTAACCATCCAGCCAAACCATTGGCAACAGCCCATAAATTTGTATATAATCACACATGTGGCCATTTCTCCTTCCAAGTCAAGTGTACAGCCAGGTGCACTGTCAAAAGTTCTTCCCACTGGGAGGATTTCCCTTCACCATTGTTCTTCATGGATGTCCCAGCTGTCTACATTTTGGGTGGTGCCTGCATATCATGCAGAACCATCTGTAAACCAGGCTGGAGTCTTTCTTCCTCTGTAACTGATTGTGGGGAACTCCCAATGAGGCCATAGGTACAGGATGGGAGGGAAAAGGCAGTACAGCAGGAATGGGAACCATGGACATTTGGGCCACTTCTTCACATGACTTCTTGTTACTTCAGGGCCTGCCTGGCCCAATCGTATATATACCACCTTTGTTCGATGATGGAGTGTTGCTATGCGTGCCCAACTTTGTGGCTTGGTGGATCAAATAACACCCAGTTCATGATGGGCAGCTCGGGTCTCCTGGTATCTTGTTGGCCCATGGTCAAGCATTCAGTCTCTACTAAGGCCCAGTAGCAGGCCAAGAGCTGTTTCTCAAAAGAAGAGTAGTTATCTGCAGATGACACCTTGCTCCAAAATCCTAAAGGCCTGCTCAATGATTCACATGTAGGGGCCTGCCAAGGGCGCCAAATAGCATCTCTATTTCCCACTGACACTACAAGCACCACTGGATTTCCTGGATCATATGGCCCAAGTGGCAAAGCAGCTTGCATAAGAATAGCTCAGATGGGAAATTCCTAAGATGGACACCTTCCTCAGAACTACACCCTCCACCACCGTCCCCAAACACCCAAATACACACGCACACAGATACTCCTCAAGCTCCACCAAAATAAATTTACTTGTAAACTTATCAATTATGTGGTAGGGGGTTAATTTATCTTAACATTACAGAAAAAGCAAAGATTTTATATTTTCATTAAATACTAGATTTAGAAATTTTATGTAAAGTACCAGATTTATAATTAATTTTGTAATACTGGCAAAATGTAGATTATTCTGTAAAATATATGGAAAAAATGTTCCAAAGTAAAATATTTTTTCCTAAATGACTTTCCCCAAAATATTGGCAATATTTTCCCATATTTTGTTAATAAAATATCAAAGTATATATATATAGTTTAATGTAATTAAATTAATTTTTGAAATTTTGAAAGGAATTTTATGATCTTTCAGCTGTATAATTAAATTATGATGCTGAAGGAAGAGGATTTTTAGGCCTTAGGAAAGTTAACGGCATTCTTTCTGCTTCCTCTATTACTTCGAAAATATAAATACCAGCTTCCAGTGTTTAAACAAATGGAAGTCACTGTTTATGATCTGGATTTAAACAGATTATAATATATGCAGATTTAAAAAATATTTTAATGACCTATTTAACAAATCTGATTTCCTAACTACTTGGGAGTTGATAGCAATGTCATCACCTATGCTGAAGAGTCACCCTCATCACCTTTCCCTTTTGTTTTCTGCGTTTTTATCCCCTCAAGACCTGCAGAAGAAATAACTGTCTTCTGTTGTACTGCAATCCAAACAAACCAGTCTTTAGGACTCACTGATCGCTCCCTACCACAGAGAAAATTAGAAAAAGTTTTCTTTAAAATCTTAGTTAACTTATTTGACTTGATTTAGAGTTTGTCTTTTTTCTAATGCATTAATTAAAGATGTCAAATATTTGTTAAGAAATTTATGTACCACCTCTAAGCAATTCCAGAGTAAGAAATTAGAAGTTGTAGATTTTTAACCACAGACTGAAAAATCCCCATCATTTAACGTGTAAGTTTCCTTGTGTTTGCTTTGCAGCTGTTGTGGCTCTCGTAGCCATTTTGATGGGCGTCAGATACCTTTCCCTCTCCACCTTTATCCAATGAAGTCCCTATTCCTGCATAAGTTTTCCTTTGTCTTTACTCTCATAGTGGACGTTTAAGAGCCTTAAAAAGAAGAAGAATGGAAAAGCCAGAAAGAGGAAAAGACTTATGACGAAACAGGTCAACAAAACTGCTTCCTCCAGCAGGAAGTCCTGAAGAAGGCGAGCTGACCAGCCCATACCTGGTGAAAAGCTCCCCGCCTTGCGTCTTTGAAGATGCAGAGAAATGGGGAAGATGAAAGAATGAAGTCTTCGTTAACCTGATAAAATCTGATTTTTCCTCCCAGCACTTCAGACACCAGATGCGTGGATTTTTTCCACACCAACAACCAGTTCTCCAACTCTCCAGACACCAACTGGGTGTCCTACAATTCCTGCCAATTCTCACACTAACTACTCAGAGTTAGCACAGACCCCACAGGTTAAGGGCTCGGTCCCACCAGACTGTTCCCCACTTCAGAAGCCAGTTGCAAGTCCTGGGTCTCCTATATTTCTGACTGACTGGCTATAAATCAGGGATTCCCAGGATCTCCTCCTCAGGTTCAATAATTTGCTAGAACAGCTCACAGAACTCAGAAAAACAGGAAAATAGAAGTAACTGTTTATGATCAGTTTGATATAAAGAATACAGCTCAGAAACACCCGAATGGAAGAAATACACAGGGCAAAGTATGAGGGAGGGGAGGGATGCACGGAGCTTCCATGCCCTCTCCAGGACATTGAGATTATCTCAATCTCCAACCCCACTCCCTCCCCAGAGGTCCAGGAGTGGGGCTGCAAGTTCCAACATTCTAATCACATGGTTGATTCCTCTGGCAACCAGCCCCATCCTGAAGCTATCTAGGGGCCACCAGGAGTCACCTCATTAGCATAAACGGGTATGGTTGGAAGGGGGTTATTATAAATAACAAGAGAGGGCCGGCCCTGTGGCTTGGTGGTTAAGTGCGCGCGCTGCGATGCTGGCGGCCCGGGTTCGGATCCCGGGTGCGCATCGAGGCACCACTTCTCTGTCCATCCTGAGGCCGAGTCCCACATACAGCAACTAGAAGGGTGTGCAGCTATGACATACAACTATCTACTGGGGCTTTGGGGGCAAAAAATAAAATAAATAAAATCTTTAAAAAAAAAAATAAAATAAATAAATAAATAAATAAATAACAAGAGACACTCCTCTTCACCTCCATCACTCAGGAAATTCCAAGCATTTTAGAAGCTCTGTGACAGGAAATGGGAATGAAGACCAAATATATATTTATTATGTCACAATATTTCAATCCTTTTTATGATCATTGACCCTTTGAGAACCTAAATAAAGCTAGAAAAATGCATGTAATTCTGAAGGCACAACAACCCCCTAAGTATATCCATGGACCCCCACAAGTCTCTCTGTCTGAGGGTTTCTGTTCACCTTGCTCTGACCGGTCAGTGGGGCTCCTGTTCTTCTACTTTTCTTCCATACTTAGGACCTGACTGAGGAGAGAAGTCCTTGAGCCAAATACAGAACTGAATAATCAGTATTTTCCAAAATCAACTCCAGGAACCTTTTGGTTAACACTAATTTGAAAAAGGAACCCATTCCACCCAAATAAAATTAAAATTTCCTTTAAAAGTAACATTTGAATGCAAACCGGCTTGGAGCTTTCAAGTGCATGTCTCAGGGAATGTTAGCTCTCACTTGGTCAACCACAGTTATTGTTAAATTGCTGGCTAGACTTACACTTTCTAATATATATTCAGTAGTTATTAAGCTGTTTTTTCCCATGATAACTTTTTTTTATTCCTTTCAAGGTCCAGTGCCATTAGGGATTCACTTATTAAAATACTGGGTTTTGGGCCGGCCCAGTTGCTTACTGGTTAAATTCACACACTCCGCTTCAGTGGCCCAGGGTTTGCGAGTTCGAATCCTGAGCATGGACCTACACACTGCTCATCCAGCTATGCTGTGGTGGTGTCCCATAGACAAAATAGAGGAAGATTGGCACAGATGTTAGCTCAGGGACAGTCTTCCTCAAGCAAAAAGAGGAAGATTAGCAACAGATGTTAGCTCAGGGCCAATCTTCCTTACCAAAAAAATAAATAAATAAAATAAAATATTGGTTTTTGTCTCACCCTAAACTTGCCAGTCTTGTGTTTGCATCTGCCAACAACAGAAATATAACAGCTACTAAAGGAGTTCAGTTGACCTGAGTCGACATCCTTGGCCTCGCTCTTCTAAAACATAAACAGGTCTTGTATTGGGCTTTTATTGCAGGTGAAATAACAGACTCTGACATTAGTAGCTCCTTCTCCAGCTCAGAACCAGACTCTTCCTCAGCGTACAAAGAGTTCTGTAATGGCCTTGGAGATGAGTTTAGTGCCCATTTGGTACCAGTGACAGAGAAGGAAAGCGAATCAGTCATCTGACCAAACAGAGAAGAAAGCATAAGTTGAGGCTACCTGCATCTTCTGTTTTTATTTCTTTTCTCTCTCTTGCTTTCTTGCCCTCTGACTTATAAATAGAGACTAGTACTTAACCATGGGATTGTTATTGTAATAAAGAAGTAAATGATGTGGTGACATTTATTGAATGTTTACTCAGTACCATGTGCTTTGCTAAGCACTTTACGCTTTACATGCTTTATCTTAATCTTCAAAATAACTCTAAGAAATTGGTTATATTTACTTCACAGAGGAGGAAACCTAAGCTGAAAGTTACTGGACTGTAAACTCTGTGAGGACAAGAAATTAGTCTTTTTTGTTCACAATCCCCAGGGCCTGGAATAGCGCCTTGGACATAGCTGTTCACTAAATATTTGTTGAATTATTGACAAATGAACAACGTTGCCCATGGTGATTTGCCTGGTAAGTGGGGGAGCTGGAATTCAAACCCAGGACTATCCAGCTCTAAATCAGTTCCCCTGCACAGTTCAGCTCAGATTATCTTAAGTGTTACGATTTCTGAGATCCCATGTGGTTACCTGTCCACATCTTAGCCAGAAAGGACACACATCCATCTTTCCCAGTTCTCTTCGTTCTTTCCTGCTGACCTCAGTTTCCATCTGAAATCATTTTCCTTCAGCCTAAAGAACATCCTTAAGCATTTCTTCTCATGCAGATCTGCTGGTGACAAATCCTCTCAGGTTTTAGTTATCTGGAAATGTTTTTTGACCTATTTTTAATGGGCATATTTACTGGATGTAGAATTCTGAGTCCCCGTTTTTCTTCTTTCAGCATTTTAAAGATATCATTCCAATATTTTCTAGTGTCCTTTTTTTCTAATGAGGAATCAGCCCTCATTTGTATTAATGCTTTCTCCTCTACATCGTGTCTTGTTGTCCTCAATCAGGTTTTAAGATTTTTCTTTTATATTTAGTTTCCAGCAGTTTGACCTTGTCAAGTAAAAACAAATCCGTACTTGCACAAGGAGAGACTCTATTCATAAAAACTATTGAAATAGGTAGACTGCTTCAACCTCAAGATCTGCAAGTATCTCAAAATCAAACAGGAAGAACTTTCTTTTATAGAGCGAGGTAAGCAGGGCTAGCAGGAACTTTGGGCAAGTAGCAGGGTGAGTGCATGGCAAAATGAGGGCATTTCAACAGGAAATGTTTCTCTCTATGGTTGGCTGATCCTCAGAATGAGCTGTTAAGGGTGGATGGTTTGCACCTTAATACTTGCTTAACCTTGGGGACAAGCCAATGTTCAGGGGCCTGTAGGGAGGAGAGAACCTGAGTAAAGTTTTGTCAAGTCAGCTCAGTGGGTAAATTAGGTAACTGAGAGCTCTTGGTCAACTGTGATGTAGGTGTTTTCTTTATATTTATCCTCTTGGAGTTTGCTAAGCTTTATGGATCTATAGGTTGATGTTTTTCACCAAAACTGGGAAATTTTCAGCCATTATTTCTCCAGATATTTTTTCCCCATATTCTCTCTCCCTTCTGCTTCTGGAGATGTATATTTGAACACTTGATTTTGACCCACAGGTCACTGAGTTTCAACCTTTTTTTTTTGTTAATCTGATTTCTCTCTAGTCTTGAGATTGAATCATTCCTATTAATCTCTCTTCAAGTTTATTGGCCGTTTCTTCTGCAGTTTCCCATCTTCTGTTAAGTCCATCCAGTGATGTTTTCATTTCAGATATTATTCTTTTCATTTCTTGGATTTCCATCTGGTTCTTTTTTATAGTTTCCACTTCTCTGCTTAGAGCTTGCATCACTTTACTCATTATGGTCTATTCCTTATATCCTTGAACATATTTATAATAGTTTTAAAGCCTCTTATCTGCTAATTCCAACATCTGGGTCATCTTGACTGCTTTTTTTCTTAATTACAGATTACACTGTTCCTCTATTACACATGTCTAGTAATTTTTATCTTATACTGGACATTCTGTGTGATAGGTTGCAAGGAGTCTGGATTGTGTTGTCCTGCTTTAAGGGGTGTTGAGTTTATTCTGGCTGTTAAGTGACTGGTGACTCCTTTTGACCTTTCCAGGCTTGGCTTTATTCGTGATTAAGACAGGCTGATTTCTGCTTTGTGTTTCATCCAGGACAGCACGGCCTTTCTGGGCCTCCGCTAGATACCTAGGGGCTCAGAGAAGTCTCTCTTCTTCATCTGGACTAAAACCTCAGCCCCTCGAAGCAGGAACTCTGACACCTGAGTGGAGCTCTCAGCACTGCAGCAGCCCCCCATACTAATATCATGCTTTGAAAGAAAAGGTGAAGCTTGTTTTTTTGGCAAGATTTGTTTCTACAATATCTTTGAGGATATTTCTCCTTTCTGGAGTTCATATTAAGTACAGTAAATTACCCTAGGTAAGAATGTTTGGCTTTTAGTCAGCTACAAGCAATAAACATTAGTTTTGAATGTGAATAATTCTAACAGAAATCTGTGGAGGGTACACAATGAGGGTTTTCTGTAAGGCTTATAAGATAGGACAGAAAATCACTGAATATTCTGGAGCAGTGGAGCAACTTGGCTCAAACTCAATTTACTTTTTATTATTTTTTGTCTTGTTTGAGGTAGTTGAATTATGAATCAGTGACCTTTTTTTTTTTTTTTTCCCGCTGAGGAAGATTAGCCCTGAGCTAACATCTGTGCCAGTCTTCCTCTATTTTGTATGTGGGTTGCTGCCACAGCATGGCTGGTGAGTGGTGTAGATCTGTGCCTGGGATCCAAACCCGTGAACCCAGGCCACTGAAGCAGAACGCACCAACTTAACCACTACACCAAAGGGCAGGGCCCCGGTGACTTTTTTTAATTACAGGAAAATTGTTTAAGGTGGTGATAATTGATAGTTAAGACTGAGGTTAAGAGCCTTGTACAGACCCTTGAGGCTTTATGTAGTTCATTTGTTTAGCTGAATACAGGAAAGGTGACAATACCCATTAGATAAACATATAGATTTAATACAATTTTATTTAACATATTAGAATAAGATTTGATAAAACATGACAAAGTATTAGCATAACAGAAAGACAAGATTATTAAGAATTATTTTGAGTAAAATAATGGATTTTTTAACTCACCCTGCCAGACGAAAAATTAAACCACAGTAGCTTCCTAACTAGTCTATTGTCATCAAATGTGGACCCCACCCCTACAATGAATCCATCTCTACACTGCAGCAAATGTGAGCTGTGTGAGGCTTCTCAGTGACTTCCCATTGCTGTTAAGATAGAGCAGAGCTTTTCAACAGCGACTACGAGACCCTACACTGTCTGGCTCCTACCTACCTTCCTACCTACCCACCTACCTCTCCAGATTCATCTCCCATGAGATACACCTCTCTCTCTCAGCTCTGACCAAGTGACCTTTTTTTAATCCCTTGTTCCTGTCTTGCTCTCTTGTGCCCCAGGGCCTTTATCCCTCTGTTCTCTGCCTGGAATGCTCTTCCCTCCCCATCTTCACTTAGATAACTCTAATCTTGTGGATATCGAGTATTATTTTCTTAGGGGAGCTTTCTCTGACCTTGTGATCTAGGCCACATCCTACCTTTTGGGGCATTCACAGTATCTGAAGTCCTTCGAAGTGTATGTCCCAGTTGCAGTCCACAAGTTGGGATGGGAAATTTTAAGTTTGTTAATTGTATCTTAGTCTCTTCCAGGTAAATGGTCTCTTTTGGATAACTGTCTTTAGAAGAAAATTTTGTATTCCTTCCTTCCTCTAAGATGGTGTCTGGGTACTTAGAGTAGCTTAACATAACATATCCTACCCCTTAGCCTGAGGGAGGGGCATGCAAATGGGAGGCAGCTAGGGGACAGTGAGTGAAAGAGGTCAAAGAGAAAGGAGGGATACACATTTGGGGAACACGTTTGTTTCTTTTCATCACTGATCACCAAGGCCTCATTCCTCTTGGCTTCATCATTTTCAGACAGGGTTTTTTTTCCTTCTCCTTTTTTTTTTTTTTTTTTACCCTAGATCAACCTCAGATGGTGCCACAGACAACAGTGTCTCCCAGGAGCCCAGGTGTCTGTCTCCACTGGCACCTGCTGCCTCCACTGGATCCACACAACGACTCTTGGAGCTTGAGGAATAAAGTATCTCCCTAAGATTCCCACCTACTGGTGAAACCACGTGCCACTGTTTTGTACTAAAAATTTCTATGAACTCCTATGTACTCTCCTTACCCCTCTCATACATAATGGTGACACGTTAAGCTGTTTTCACTGGCTTTGTATGCTTTTATATTCTATTTATTTATTTTTGTGAGGAAGATCGGCCCTGAGCTAACATCTGCCAATCCTCCTCTCTTTTTTTTGCTGAGGAAGACCGGCCCTGGGCTAACATCCATGCCCATCTTCCTCCACTTTATATGGGATGCCGCCACAGCATGGCTTGCCAAGCGGTGCGTCGGTGCACACCCCGGATGGGAACCGGCGAACCCCGGGCCGCCACAGCGGGGCGCACGCACTTAACCGCTTGCGCCACCTGCCTGGCCCCTGCTTTTATATTTTAAATATTATTTCCTAAAAATGGAAAATATGGTCTAAATGTGCATATTTGGTTTCATGTTTGAAATTCTATTAAACTGGGAAGAAATGGTGTCTGAGATTCAGGAGAGAGGACTAGGTAACTCCGTCTTAAAAAGCCCCCAGTTCGGGCCAGCCCGGTGGCGCAACAGTTAAAAGTGCGTGTGCTCCTCTTGGGCAGCCTGGGGTTCGCCGGTTCGGATCCCGGGCACACATCAACACACCGCTTGTTAAGCATGCTGTGGTGGCGTCCCCTATAAGGTAGAAGAAGATGGGCATGGATGTTAGCCCAGGGCCAGTCTGCCTCAGCAAAAAGAAGAAGATTGGCATCAGATGTTAGCTGAGGGCTGATCTTCCTCACCAAAAAAAAAAAAAAAGCCCCCACTTGGAGTTTAGGACACAGAATCAGGCAGGGTT